AAGCTGATCATTTATATAATGAACTATTAATTGAAATGAACCTCTTGCTGGTGTTTTTTGGAATTGTTGACACTTGTCGCAGTCCCTTGGGTATACTTCACTGTACGTGCTTTTTTCAAAAATGACACGCATTTACGTGAACGTACGATATTAAAATTAGAAGGTAAGCAAAATAATTTCCCTGACAAACATTTTTGTCACATGTTTACATACATCCATATCGCAAGATGTATTCTGATCACTTGAGGTTCTTAATCATGGATAAACGTTTGAGGACATGCCTGAGTTGTATGTAGGCAGCTTTAATTAACCCATGTGCTGAAAGGATTTTAAATGGTCGATGGCAATATAAATCTTATATACTTTTACTAACATTATATATTGCCACCATCAGATGTGGATTATGCAGGATACGTCACAGTATTTTTCATTTATGAGTTCCTCTGTTAAAGACAGTATGTGTTGCTTGTAATTCGACAGAAGGTTTAACTTTTAATACCTTGTTTTGTACATTTTAGAAAACATCATGTTGATTAGTTTGAAGAAACAGATCTCTATGAAAAAGGCAGATTGGTAGTCATCAAGGGTGTGGGTGTGGGAAGGTGTGGGTGCGGGTGTGGGTGCGGGTGTGGATGTGGATGTGGATGTGGATGTTAGTGTGGGTGTGGGATGTGAGTGTGGGTGTGGATGTGGGGTGTGGGTTGGAGGAAGACAAGACCAACATCCACACACACACCCGCACCTACACCCACACCCATACCCACACCCACACTCACACCCACACCCATACCCACATCCACACTCACACCCCACATCCACACCTACACCCACACCCATACCCACACCCACACCCACCCACCCACACCCCACCCACACCCCACCCACACACACCCACCCACACCCACACCCACACCCAAACCGCGGTATTTTTGGTGCTTATACCATCGCGATGGAATGTGTAAGGACGAAAAGGATGTCGTGCCCTGCTATTTTCATGGAAATTTTGAATAAGTTTTCTTATTCTATCTTTCACTACAACGTCACTTTGTGGTAATAGAACTTCTAAAAGTTCACTACAGGCCCCTTGAAGGGTGGCTCACCTGAACTAGGGTGTGAGTGTGGATGTGGGTGTCGAAATGTACTATTTCTCATTTGCAACACCCACACCTACACTCACACCCCACACCCACGCCCACACCCCACACCCACACCCTAGCCACAAATATAATTGGATAGGACGTGAATCAGGAGAACTGTAATGGGTATAATAAGAACTCTGTGCGAAGTGAGACATCATGCCTAATGATAGAAAGAAAGACAAAGATGTCTCATAGTTATACATATTTTTGTAAGTTTTTAATAATTGCATTTGCTGTGGATTCAAAATATCGCACATTTCGATGTTCATATCAGATGCTAATGATATATTTGTTAAAATCATTTCAGAAATTGATTTGTTATCGATAACAGAAGAACGTTTTGATATATTGAATTAAGAAAATAGGATGAGTACGTGTATATATAATCTTAACATAAAAAAGAAATATTTTTCATTAATAAACAATGTGAACACCGTTATCATAAGCAAAAAATATTAGAAAAGAATTTTTATTCTCTCTGAATATATTACAACTAGTTGTATTGTATTTACTTAGCTCTTCCAGTACTTGATCGACACCTACTTGACTTTGACGTTAAGCGTTAATTTTTCCACTGTTCATAGTTAGAATTAATACAAAATTCTTTTAAATAGAAATAAACACAAAGGACATATATCGTATAGTGAATACTTTTAGAGATCATCATCTATCTTATTATATTAATAAAGAAAATACAACAAGTGATATCTATTGCAAAACAGAGAGATATCTTATGAGATACCCTTGATCAACTGATTTCCATATGTTGTTCTCGTATTTTTTTTTGTTCTCTGCCTTCTATATGTCCTCGATCAGATGATATCTATATATCGTTCTCGTTTTCTTTCTTTCTTTCTTTCTATTCTTTCTATTTATATGCACTTAATCAGCTGATATATATCTTCTGTGATGTTTCCTTGTTCTTCTCTTTTCACTAAACCCTTGTTCAGATGTTTCTATTTGTTTTCTTCTTCACATCTTTTATAACCAAGAAAAGAAGATGTATCATCAATACGCCGAAATACGATTCGAAGAACATTAAAACTTTTTAATTTTTGAAGATCTAAATTTACATTAACAAATGCCGATGCCATTCGTTCTTCTATTTTTTTTTCATCTTATATGTGAATTCCAACCACAAATTAACATGAAGATGATCAAACGTGATCGTTCAGTCACTCATACTGTTTTTGAATTGATTCGATTTAATCACATTCATATTTAAACAAAAGATAAAACATCACATGTTTGTATTCACTTCTACTTCGGAGGTATACGATTAGACTGTTTTTGTTGTAATCTTGTTTTAATCAATTTTATTTTAAACACATGCAATGGATGCCTGTTGAGTCGATCACATAAATCACAAAATGAAGTCTTTCAATTATATACACCTACATGCAATTGAAATTTCCCTTAATTCTCTTTTTAATTTGTAGCCGTGATTCTTTATTGAAAACTAAAATACATACAACTATCACAACGACTCATCGATATAAGTAACATCAATATTCATCAACACGTTTGCTTTGCGATGAAATCAGTATATCTTCAGATCAACATTATTACTAACAGTCACTGAATGTTAAACTTTCATAAAAATCTCATGGCCCAGTCAGACAAATGTTGAAAAAAACGACGTTTTTACGCGTTCAAAAAAAAATTTTTTTTTGAGAAAAATGAATTTCACAGCGTTAATATTTACAAACTTGCTTTTTCTTCAAAAAAAAATTTTTTCTAACGCGTAAAAATGTGCGCTTTTTACGCGTAAAAACGTCGTTTTTTTCAACGTTTATCTGACTGGGGGGTTTTCAGCTACATAGATTACAGGTAAATGCATTACGTATCAAAACAAGTTCCATACAATATATCAGGTAAAATTCAAATACTATCAGCCATACAACCATCGTTTATAGTACTTTGCTCAATTTTCATACATGTAAGTAGATGATTGAGTTGATTTACTTTATTATGCATTGAAACTGAAAACTTTCATACAAAAGTAAATATCTGATATATGATGTACGATGATAGTTTTCGGCTTGTCAGAAACTGAATAACTTATTTTTACAATTATATCACATATTAAGTCATTCAACCGAAACTGGTAACAGTTTGAGATTTGCCACGCCCTCGTTTTTTCATTTGAGAGAAAAATACTAGGTTTTTCAATAAAAATATACTTTTTTCATCATTTTTATTAACAGAGACGTTTCAAAATGTAACCATCAGATTCAGCGTGAAAAACTGCGTCTACTGATTACATTTCGAAACGTCTCTGTTAATAAAGATGATGAAAAAAAATTTATTTTTATGGAAAGCTTAGTATTTTTCTCTCAAATGAAAAAACTGAGTTTTTTAACATTTTTTAGCATTTTCCAAGCAGCTTTTTAATTTTTCTATCTCAAAAAATTGGCTTAAAAAATTTTTTAACATATACAGTTTTGTAGAGCTCGACGAGTTCTATTAAACCATATAAAAATATCAAAAGAGAATACTAAAAACAATTTTAGAATCATTGACGCTTTAGTTTTCTATCCCAAAAAAGCACAAGACTTCTTAAGTTCGACATCAAACACTTTTCACAACTCTTATAATATAGTATCAAAAAATCCCATTTTCGACGGGCTTTAACTTGGTATAAAATTAGTTATGTATGCTGTTGGAAATTATAGTGTTATCCCCTTGGAAAAACATTTTTATCCACCCTGTACATAAATAGTATATGTACGAATAACTTGATTTTAAGTTTGATCTTCTGGAATAATTGAATGATCAACAGCAACTGATGATGAATCAAATACTAGAATATGCATATTTGAATCATTTAATGGAAGCTCTTTAGTAGGTAAAACAGAAGTCCAATAATATGAACGAATAAAATTACCTAATTCTTTATAATGAATAGTATACTTCGGTAGTATAGATCTATTTTAGATGTTAATTTATTTATAAAAAAAAAAACTTTCAGTTTTTTATGTTTTTCTTTTTCTTATGTTATTTAAATGTTCTTTTTCTTGATCATTTGAGGATAAAATGTTGCCAAGATTGCTCATATTAAAGATACTATTGTTACAATCATCATCACAAGATTGATTCTGTTGAATCTGCTCCACGAGTCCTTTTCTCTTAGATCTATCTAGACATAATAGAAAAAAAAACTTATATATGCAATTCCTTAGAGAGTATCACAAAACCTACCATAAGAAATATTTAAGATATAACGTGCTTCTTCAATCGGTACATTATCCACCACATGTAGATAGATTCGATCAGGATATTTTGCCAATCTAGATCACACATAAACAAATAGGTTTATCAAGATTGAAAAATCAATAGAAAATCCTTACGAATGTTTTAAGTTGTTTTTGTCCACTACGAATAATCCTACAGCAAGTTCATCAACATCTTTTAGCTCAGCTAATAAAACATAGGGTACAAAATGATAAAAGCAAAATTCATAATGTATTTTAACTGCTGTAGGACCTTTACTGGAATCGTTCGTATAAACTTTAATAGATGACATGTTTTGTTGACGATAAAAGACCAAAATGTACGTATATGTTGTGGTCAAAATTAAAATTCAGTCAAATTTAAAATTTGCCTAGTCAAAATTGAAATTTTAATTTCGTCTAGGCAAAATTAAAATTTGAATTTTGACCAGACAAAATTAAAATGTGTTTCTCATGAAAAGGAAGACTTAAAGAAAGAAAAACAATTAAGATAGAACAAATCTCTTTTATTTTACAATTAGTGGCGTAACAAAGATTTTGTATACGTAAACGCTGGGTCTTAGCAGTAGAGCATGGGATTCAGATGAAGCTTCTGGAGAATGACATTGGGTCCAAATGATCATTTTTTATCAAAAAGTTTTCCCGATCAAAGTTTGCGGAAAAAAGTTTGCTCCTATTCCTCATCAACATTTTTTCCTCTCAAAACGCTATAGCGGGATTTATTCTTTCAGAATTTATTCCCTCTATGGCTTTTATTAATTATGATAATATCTCAGCATACCCACACTCAAACCTGTGCCCTCATCCACACTCAGACCTTCCCCTGCATCCTACACTCTCACTCTCACCTTGTATGTATTAAGGAATAGCGTGGGATTTATCCCAAAATG